AATAAAGCTGCATATTCTTCCTGCAGCTTGCTACCTCAAGACACTCAAGTAAGAGCAAAATAAACCACTTTCTCATTTAAGCAGAACCCGTAACCTAATTAGATGAGTATTTAGCATTGTGTATTAAAATACTTTAAAAGTTCATAACCTTTCAAGCACAAATTTCCAAGAAATAAAAGAAGTTTGCACTTGCACAGTACAACCCCTCATTTTCTACATAACCTGAGTCAGAAGCTCATTCCTGTAAAGGGCCACATTTAAACTATGTAGTACTTCGTTTGCCTAAAATCTGCAACCAGATACCTGGGGCTAAAGAGGAGGGAACAAACTTGAACCAGCCCACTTGCAAATATTATAATCACAAAATGCTGAAGTAGAAACTTTTTAGAGTGACCAAAAAAACATTTCAATTTACCCCTCTGAGGCCTTCGAAGTCCTTGTAGTGGTAAACAAGAGGATACAAGTGCTGGAGGACTTTCTATGGCCCTCTGGAGGTTCGGCTCATAATAACTACTCTCGTGTACCACAGCACTTCTTCCTACCACAAGCTGCTGCCACAGGGTTCTGACTGATGTTGTGATGATGCACTCACATATCTTTAATCATACGTAACTTCTCCTTTTCCAGATAGTGACAGTTCACCCCACATATTTTGGCTATTATCAGGATACCCTGGAGTTCAAGTTCCCTCTCAATAAATCAGTACTAATTCTGTCAACAATGTACTCTGTTCTTCCTGCAAAAGTGGTAGATAAAGCAAATGGCTGATTCCATAATTAGTGACTAATCACTGCTGGATGAGCAAAGTCAAACATGCCTAGGGGAAAGAACACTACTTGTAATAGAATCACACCTTTAGAACATGGCTTTGTCTTCCTTTGCCCTAGCATCTGTGGGAAAGTTAGAATGACTAATACCTCCTACCCCCTAACTCCACTTCATTCCTTAGAAGTGGGTGGGATGCTCTTCAAGAGCTCCTAGGCCCATTTGATTCTATTGATACTTACTACAAAAAGACAATGAGATATGTGTACAAATTTACACACACAAACACATACTTAGCTTCCACCATCTATCACCATGGCTTAAAAATAAATGAGAAAACAGAGGCCAGAGAAATTAAATGATTTTCCCATAATCTCATTTCCTTCTAGCTTAGGTCTTTAAGTACTGCCACTCTGATCATTTTTTCTGCTTTGCAAAGACTTGACTGTTTTTTCCCAAATTCATCCATCAGATTTGGCCTTGTTTCCTTTCTTTATGCCATCTAGATTGGCTTCCATACCCTAAACTAAACTTTCCTCTCTGCTTTTTTATCATAACTTCCTAACAAAACTCCAACCCTAAATGAATTCAACTCTCAGGTCTCCCCTGTGCCTGTCACTGAGCAGGTGAGCGCTGATGGAACAAGTCCCACAATAGATTGGTTCCATGATAAATTCCTAACATTCATTTTATATAAATCCACCGTACTACTCAAAAACACTATTACATGTCTCCGTTCAACTTTATTCCATTATTGACAACAATTAAAGCTTTTTTCTAATATCTTCAATCCTTTCATCCCTTCTTCTCCAACCTCAGCACGACTTTACCTCTTTAAAAACAAAATTAAGCCATCAGTTGGAAATTTCCTCATCTTCCTGATTCCATATTTTCCCCACATCCTCTCTTCCTTCCCTCCTGCTATAGTAAAGGAAGTATATTTCCTACTATCTAAGATAAAATATCTCTTGTGTGTTTTGAATTCCCATCCTGCTCAGATTATCAGAAATCTTACAATTTAATTTTTTTCTTCTCTTTAATATCTTTAACATACATAAGATGTATGTACGGATAAATGTCTCAGCCAGATACATCCCATTAGCATTCAAACATGCTCATCTCTCCCTAAGCTTAAAAAACATAAATTAGCTTGCCCACATATTTGCCTCCAGCTACTGCTCCAACACTTCTTTACAGCCAAACTTCTAGAAAGAGTTGTCTATATTTGCTATTTTCCCCACATGCCCCCACTCACTCTTTATCACTCCATTTTCTTCTAGTTTTTTTTCTTCATCCCACCACCAATCCATGACTCTTCTCAAAACAGGTCCCACTAGAATAACTAATGACTTCATGTTACTGAATCATTATTTTTCATTCCAATCTTGTTTCTCTCTTAGCGGCATTCACCTGTTTACCACCATCCTTGAAACACTAATCCTTTGGCTTTTCTGACAACAGCTTCCCAGTTTTCCTTCTGTCTCTCTGGCTACTCTTTTTATGTCATTTATAGGCTTATCCTTTACTTATCCTAATATTATACATCAGAGTTCTTTGGCCCTCATTTCTTCTGACTTTATGTTCTTTTTGTTCTTTATGTTTTTATCCACTCCTACACCTTCCATTACCATCAACATGACAATGACTTTCAAACATGTATCTCTCATCCAAACTAGTGCTCTAAGCTCCATACTTGTATATCTAATTGCTTTCTTAAGATCTTCACTTGGAAGTCTCAAACACACCTCAAATGCAAAATGCCAAACACCAAAATCATGATCTTCCATCTGAAAATGGGTCTTCTTGACAGAGATGTAGTTTCAAGGTGTAGTAGTTCTAAGTTACTAGTTATCAGTGGTGTCCATTCAACAGTACAAGCCAGAAACCTGACACCCTAGACACCTGACATTACATCTCCCATGTCCAATGCATAATCAAATTCAATTCAGTTTTCAAACATCCCTTGAAACTATTTATATCCATGTATACCCCTACCATGCTAGTCCAAACAAAATCACCATCATAATTTGCCTGGACTATTACAATAGCTTCTTTAAAAAAAAAAAAAATCTGTATTCGACTTTTAACCATCACCAGTGGGCAATAACAATCATTTTTTTTTAAGTAATCTCTATGCCCAACGTGGGGCTTAAACTCATGACTCGAGATCAAGAGTCACATGCTGTACAGACCAAGCCAGCCAGGGGCCCCTACAATAGTTTCTTAATACATCTCCTTTAATTTACTCTGGCCCTGCTCTATTTCTACATTACAGGCAGAGTGCCTTTCTTCTGTTTTCCAAGTGCAAATCTGATTATACAACTGCCCTGCTATAAATTCTTCATGGCTTCCTCTTTATCTTGGGATAAAGATAAAAATTGTTTACTTGGTTCTCAAGGTCCTAAATATTGTGGCATCTGACTACTTCTACAGACACTTTTTATACACTCTCCTATTTTGTGCTCTGCGCTCTCACCACAGGGCTTGTGCACATGCTGCTTCATCTGCCTGAAATATTCATCTCTCTCTCTCTATCACTTATGGTTAATCGTAAGGCCCATGAGAGTAGGAACTGCTTCTGCTTTTACATTAGCATAATGCCTATTACCCGGTAGGCCATAAGTTTTTGGTTGAACTGATATGGTTTTAAGCCTTTAAACTAGTTATTTCCAAAGGTCCTCTTATTTTGGAAAGCTGACAGACTCCTGATCCGAAATAAATTTACCAGTGCTCTATCATGGTACCTTGATACTTCTACAATATTAGTCACCAAAGGATTCTTTTCAATAATAGTTTTGAGCTATGCAAATAACAAACCAGTACTTGTCAAAGAACAGCATGAAGAAGAAAGTGTATCTTCCCTAGAAGGGTGATAAATTCCACTTATGCAGATGATCTTAAAATATCCAGATAATCCTTCCATACATGATTTCAAAACACTGATAGACAATGTAACAGTTTTGAAATAGTTTTCTCTGTTTCAAAGAACATGAATACACATGGGAACTATGAATACTCAAAATATTCATGTAACTTATCACCACTTTCCTTTCCTCTATTTCCAGTACCAAATGGTAGCATGACTTCTCAAGCAGTGTCCTAAGATAGAAACAAAGGAGTCATCCTAGATTCCCTTTTCTCATTTATCTTCAATCACCATTTCATTCACACAATATCATAGAGATTCCATTCTCTAAATACCTCAGGGGTCCATCCATAATCACTCCATCTTCACTGCCACGACCCTAATCCTAGCCCTTAACATCTCTTGACTGATCAACAGCAATAACCTCCTGATGCATTTCCATCTTCTAACAAGACAGATTCTTGTCATTTTCCATGCTGTAGTCAGTGTGACCTTTTCAAAACACAAATATGTCCGTTCAAACTCCTTCACTAACTTCCCATTGCCCTACAGAATAATTTATAATAATAGCTCATAATTCAATGTGCTCATAGTGTGCCAGTGCTTCTGAAAGCATTTTACTGTATTAATTCACTTAATCCTCATCACAGCATTATGAGATAGGTACTGATGTCATCCCATTTTACCAGTAAGGAAACTGAGGCACAGAAAAGCTAAATGATTATCACAGGGTCTCATAGCTGGTACGTGAAGGAGCCAGATTCAATGCCAGGCAAATGTCATTCCAGAATTTGTGTCCTAATCTCTATGCTGTATTGCCTCTCATAAAATAAAGTACAAACTCTTTAGCATGGCAATCAATACTTTTCATTATCTGGACCTTACCAACACTTTCAGTCTCATTTTCTACATGTAGATCTTAAAGAGTAGGGTCTCGTTTTCTCTCTCAACTTTTATCTATGCAGGTCCCCTGATACTAATATTTTTTACCTAGCCTAGTCATGGATTACTCCTAGTCACTGAGATTTAGCTCAGGTAGCAGCACTTTCCTCTATATGCTTTCTGAGTACACCTTCTCCCAGACTAAACTGTGAGTTATATCTCCACTCTCTATTGAAATATTAGGAAATGAAATTCCACAATACATTAAAAGGCACTCACAATTTAATGAAGGGAAAAGACTCATAAACAGACAAGTATAGGGCAACATATTTTGAGATAATTATTTGTGTTTTGCTCAAAGCTTTTTTTCTTCTCCCTCCCATTTCAAGAAGATAACCAGGCTTTTTTATTTTCCTTACCTTGCCCAAGGGGTTTCCTCCTCCCCTGTTGCCAAAACTAAAAGCAGAAATTGTGCACACAGACTTACATTCCTAGCTTTTGTATTGCCAAAAATCAAGCTCATAGGAAAGATTATGCTTAGGAGTGCCAATGCCGGTCTCAAGAAGACAGATGAAATTCCTTTTAGGGTATTCAGGAGGGAAAGGAATAAATACTTTAGACAAAAGGAAGTCAGGGGTCTAGCAGGGGTTAGAGGTAGCAGGGAGAACAGCTCAACATTTGATGGTAGCAGCCTAGGAAGGGGCAAACCTGAAAGGGCCATCCCTGATTGAGACAAAATGGTATCTCAAAGACTGTATCAGAGAGATGACAGAAAAGTAAAGATCAGTGACCAAAAGGGCCTCTCTGGTATTTTGGTGTTGCCTAAGGCCTCAGAATATTTGCATAACCTGGCAGGAGGCTTAAGTATTAAATTAAATTGCATATCTTACTTTCCTGGCAGAATGCTGAATACAGGGTAAAGAACATATTAAAATGTGAAATTTCGGGGCGCCTGGTGGCTCAGTCATTAAGCGTCTGCCTTCTGCTCAGGTCATGATCCCAGGGTCCTGGGATCAAGCCCCGCATCGGGCTCCCTGCTCCGCGGGAAGCCTGCTTCTCCCTCTCCCACTCCCCCTGCTTGTGTTCCCTCTATCACTGTGTCTCTCTCTGTCAAATTAATAAATAAAACCTTAAAAAAAGAAAAGGATAAAATGTGAAATTTCTTGGATACCAAAGTTGCAGACTAACTTCATACTAACTTCAGTTATAATAAGGTGTGGTAAATTCTAAGAGAGAGGCAAGCACTTAGAAACACAGAGGACAGGTACCTAATCTGGTCTGGGGAGATGAAAGTGGTCAAGTAAGAGTCCTTAGAGGAAGTAGTACCTAAACTATCTCATATAAAAGGAGTAAGTGTTTGCAGGGGCAAGGGATAAGGGGAGGATTCCTCCTCAATGGAAACTGATTAGGCAAAAGCAGGGAAGTGAGAAAGCTTAATGAATTCAGGCATCTACAAGGGATTTGATTTGGTTGCAGTATAAGATGTACACAGGCATGCTTTCTGAGCCATGTTAAAAGACTCTGGACGTAATACTGATGGTAATAAGTGGTATTGAGAGGAAACGGTATCAAGGAAAACTACTGAAGTAGAAGAGTTCAAGGAAAAGGTATTAAAAAGCCAAGTGCCTCAGATGCCAATGGGGATGGCATAGGGGAAAGTAAGACAAGAACTGCAAAAGGGCGCCTGGGTGGCTCAGTTGGTTAAGCGACTGCCTTCGGCTCAGGTCATGATCCTGGAATCCCGGGATCGAGTCCCGCATCGGGCTCCCTGCTCAGCAGGGAGTCTGCTTCTCCCTCTGACCCTCCCCCCTTCTTGTGCTCTCTCTCTCTCAAATAAATAAATAAAATCTTAAAAAAAAAAAAAAAGGCAAGAACTGCAATGTGTCTGTTGTATTTGGAAATAAGTAAGGGGCGCTGGGTGGCTTGTTTGGTTACACGTCTGCCTTCAGCTCAGGTCATAATACCAGGGTCCTGGGATGGAACCCCACATCAGGCTCCCTGCTCAGCAGGGAGTCTGCTTCTCCCTCTCCCTCCTCCTTGCTTGTGCTCTCTCTCTCGCTCTCTCTCAAATAAATGAATAAAATCTTTAAAAAGAAAAAAAGGAAATAAGAAGTAATTAGTGACTTTGGTAAAGGCAGTTATATGTATGGACCAGTTTTTTTTTTTTAAGTTTAGTTGTATGGGTTGTGCTGGTCTTTGTTGCACAGAGAAGGGTTAAGAAAAGGTATCTTTTTCTTTGCTGAGAAAAGAACTCATACAGAGGAAGAGACTAAAAGACAGAAGAGAAAGGGAATAATTATGTAAAAAGATCCCTGAAAAAGCAAGAGGCCAGCATGTAATCTAAAACAAAAGTGGAAAGATTGAATTTGGACTGACAGAGGGCTCCGAGACAAGACAAAAGCATGGATGAAGACAAAAAATTGATGTGTTTATAAAAGACAGTGAGGTTGGTGGATAAGAGGTTCAGTCACACCTGAGGGCATTTATTTTCTGTGTGAAATAGGAGACAAGCCTACCTCCTGAGAAAAAATATGTAGTAGCTGAGTAGAGGGCTCAAAAGCAGAGGAGAAAGTTTGCAATACCCACCAAAGAGGGTGTAAAAGAACGGAGGAAAATCCAAAAGACTCTGAGTAAAGACATGTAGAAGGATGACCTGGTTAGTACCTATTCATTCTTCAGATTTCAGCTCAGATGTCACTTGCTGAAAGAAGTTGAGATGAGGCTCCTGTTATGTGCTTTATGAGCACTATATTTCCTTTAAAGACTTGTAATGGTTTTAATCTTATACTAATTTGTGGGATTATCAAATTAATTTCTACTCCATTAGACTATAAATTCAGTGAGGTCAGGGATCATATTCATTTTGCTCACCACTATATGTATTTTGCTCACAATTTAACCCTTAGTTTCCCATCCCTAAAATGGGAAGAATATTAATACTGCTCTGCATGACCAGAATATGGATATAGTTAGTTTAGCAACAAATTAGAATTTAAGATATAAGGAATCAGGGGCTTCAAATGGTTTATGTTGTATCCTCAGTGCCTAGCACAGTGCAAGACACATAGTAGATACTCAATAAATACTTACCTGAATAAATGAAACCGATATGGCAAAACACCAAGTCTCCTGAATTCCATTCCAGTGCTCTTCCCACTCTACCACAGCAACCCATATGAGATGTTCAATATACTGATTACTGTAATAAGGGCCTATGCATATGCATTATTATTTTTTTTTTAAAGATGTAAGAGAGATAGCAGGTGGTGGGGTTGGAGCAGAGGGAGAGGGAGAGAGTCTTAAGCAGGCTCCACGCCCAGCATGGAGCCCGACACAGGGCTCAGTCTCACAACCCATGAAATCACAAACTGAGCTGCAACTAAGAGTTGGACACTTAACAGACTGCACCACCCGGGCGCCCCTATCTCTGTTTTACTCAAGAAGAAAATGAAGCTCTGAAAAGATGCAGTATCTTATGCAAGTTAAACAGCTAGGATATGGTGGAATCAGAATTCAACTGCAAGTCTTCCTGGCTCCAAAATCTGAGTTCTTTCTTCTATTCCATGCTGCCTGCTAAGGTATTAAGTGATAAAAGACTTAATCTATGAACCTTTCTAGGGATATGTGCATTTGAAAGTCCCCCCAATATCCCCACTGGCAAAGAAGAAACAAACAAACAAAACACTTCCACATCCAAAGTAATGACTTTAGTGGTAAAATCTTAGGCAAAGTGACTGAGACAGGTCAATGAAGAGAATATTTGTGGGTAGGCACCTGTCAGCAGTCTCCTAAATCATAACATGTAGGCACTTGTAGTATGACTGGTCATACTGTATGACCCTGTACATTATCCATCTCCTCAGCATAAGTCTTGATTATACAGAGAGAATGGAAGAAATAAATTCCAAAGAGCTTATCTTCTCAGCATTGCCTCAGTGACCCTAGACTAGAAGCAGCATGGAATGATGGAAACAGCATGGATATTGCAGCTTCACAGATCTGGGCAAGACACTTCAGCTCTCTATGCCTCAATTTTCTTATCTATAAAACGAAGGCAACAATACTTGCCACCATAGGGTTTAGGAAATGATTAAATGAGACAGTGCAGGGTTGCCTGGGTGGCTCAGTCGTTAAGCATCTGCCTTCAGCTCTGGTCATGATCCCAGGGTCCTGGGATCGAGCCCCGCACTGGGCTCCCTGCTCAGTGGAAGACTGCTTCTCCCTCTCCCACTCCCCCTGCTTGTGTTCCCTCTCTCACTGTGTCTCTCTCTGTCAAATAAATAAATAAAATCTTTAAAAAAAAAATGATATAGTGCATATAAGTGTCTGCAGCATAGTGGGCATAACTCAATTGTTATTAGTTGCCTTCTACTTCTTCCACATCCAAGAGTCACCTCCTATCAATTCCTCAAAGACACCCAGAAAAATACATCAAAATGAACAAGCAACCCACTCCACCCCCACTCCTTTTGTTTAATCCTACCATTTAAATAATAGTTTTTAACATTTCTTTAAAAAAAAAAAGATTTATTCATTTGAGAGACAGAGAGCATGTGAGTGGGAGGAGGGGCAGAGGGAGAGGGAGAGAGAAGCTCAAGCAGATCCCCTGCTGAGCACGGAGACCTATGTGGGGCTCGATCTCACGACCCAAGATCATAACCTGAGCCGAAATCAAGAGTCAGCCGCTTAACCGACTGAGCTACCCAGGTGCCCCTGTTTTTAACATTTCTATTGCCTTTCACAACATTAGTCGTCATCAGGACACTTGGCTCATTTTACAGATAAAGAAACTAAGATGAGGATTGCTTAGTCCTTACTTTATTATTCTCTGCTCCAAATAATAATAATAATAATAATTTTATGCAATTTACTTAAGTCTTAAACTCTCTAAAACATTTCATACTTTAATAAAATTTGTATCAAAAACAGCTGGTAAATCCCCGGTATTCATGTCGTGGTTTCATATATCCTCTTACATATTAAACAAAGAAAATGAATCTGGAAATATCCAAAGTGAGTGCAGTGTGTAAAAGTGATGGTCAGATTTAAATGTTAACTATGTATTTTTTTCAGAAGAAAACAAGCATTAAATGTATAAGATGCTAGTCCATTTCAGAGCAAAAGCAGTGAAAATTGGAATTTTTATTTTAATAACTCTACCATATATGTGTTTAACCATACTACACAAATAAATGAAATCATCACATATAGAAGATATGCATGTTCCATAAATTAAATCAAAACATCATATAAAATATATTAAGTAATCCATTTTAGAGGAGCTCTATGGTTATTTCTGAGCTTAAGATAGAAAATTGCTGCGAAGTAGAGAATTCTCATTTATAGGGGGGAAAAATCACAGAAAATAATTTCAGAAAATTTCTTAACTCTAAAATGCAATTATCCTTACCATTTCCAAAGGACCAGGTTTGCTTATAGAGGTATGATTTTTATAGGAAATAAAGGCCAATAAGAAAACAACTAGAAATTAAGCAATAATGTTATTCATACTGATTATCCAGCACCTATTAATTAGCTGCATGCAAAAAAATGCAGTATTTCCTCAAATTAATATATACCAAGGCAAACAATTTTTGCCATAAAAAGATTTATGAGCCCATTTTTATTAAATTGTTTTAAATTATTTCTTTTTAAAGGAAATAATTAAATTTTAAAATGAGTTACCTCTCATCCCCACACTCCCTCTCCCAAAGTTCAGTCTCAGACTTACTGTGAGTGAATAATGTATCCAGTTATAATCAAATTCTTCTGAAATACCACTGAAATCTGTCTCAATGAACAGTTTCTTAGCTTAATGGATTTTAAATGACCTAAGAAATGAAGTCTTTATGTAGGAGGAGCTCTGGTTTATCCACTGAATGTATTGTCATGAGAAAATTTGCATTCAAAGCAGGTCATCATTCAAGGTTACACTTGTCAAAAGATTCAGAGGAAATCACAAAGTTCATCTGAGTAATTTTCTCTCCCTTTTAATTAGTTCCTGATATGGCATTTCAGTATGCCAATGTTATTTTACTATGTGACTCACCACATTGGGAATTAAAAGATAATCCAAATGTAGTTATGTGATTGCCAGGTCTATGCTGTTTCCTCAGAGTGTACTATCCAAAGTACTTCACTGTTTTGAGTTTCAAATACCTTAAGTATGAAAAAGAGTCTTAAATGGACAAGGAATCCGGTAACCTAGGTTCTGCTTTAGGCTCTCCCTCCCACATTCAGCTAGGTGTAGGTGACCTTGGGCAATTTCCTTAAATTCTTTAGGGCTCAGTTTCAAAAAAATTTATTAAATGGAACCTCAGAAGTCATCTAGTTTAACCTTCAATTCCAAGCAAAAATTGCTTCTGCATTTCACCGAAGACGTGGTCAGTTTCTCATATGTAAAATTAGCAGCTGGAACTAAATGATGTCTTAAGTTTCTGATTTCTAAAATCCTTGGTGCTGTAACTAAAATTCAGTCATTGTCATATTTTTTTTCCCATTGAAAGTTTATCAAATATATCTTTATATAACCAAACAAGATTTTATTTCAGCCCAGGTAAAAGTAAAGAAACATAGATTGCCACCAAATTGCCCCTCAACCTTCAAGTCTTCAGAGTAATCTCCATGTCCAAGAACCATGCAAAGCCATAAGAAGCTGGGACACTTTGGATGCTTTTCTAAAGTATATGACATGATGTCAGGTACTTATTCCAAAATACAAGTAAATTGAGATTGAATCCAGTCCATATATCACCTAATATTTCACTGGTTAAAAAGTGTCTTCCTTGGTTTGGAACACAGGTTCAGACTTCATAAATTCTCTCAGATACCAAAGATACATTTTACAATAAATATGTGAACAAACAAATAAGAGGCAAGGAGTCTGAAATTAAGAGAAGACTGTGGATATAGCCTTCTCTCCATTACTAACTTTATCTTCTACTCTAGGACATTTTTTTCTTTTTTATTCACTGCATAGTTGATGCCTCACCAATTGAAATTGGAAGGTGGGAAGAAATTGAGCATTGTTTAGGGAGTTTGGTGTCTGTTTTTCAGATGTCAGCTAGTTTGTCTATTTCACAATCATTTTTTCAAAAAGCATTTATCAGACCTACATGAGGAATATCATAATCAGAATTTGCTGACATGATGATAAGAAAAAGACCAAGATTCAAAATCTTCTTTCCTTTTCCTGTGATTGCAATTTCAACTTATTTATCTTCTTCCATTAAAAAAAACTCTCCATCAAGTTTTCTTCAAGCTTCCTGTTTTCCCGAAATCTCCTGGCCCTTGCAAACATTTCAATTACATTATATAGTTTTAATGGAGAGGTACAATTCAAAGAAATACAAGTGTAATCATATCTTGGAATGATACAGTCCATTTATTCATGGTTTGCAAACTATAGCTAAATATTGTTAATAAAATACATTTGGGAAAAATTTTTAAAAATAAAATAAAATACAGTTGGAAGCAATAATGCACCATATCTCAGATGTTAAATTTCATTAAATATGAACTTCTACCCTGATTTTATAGCTTAATCAGTGAAAACATAGGCTAAGCTTTGTTTCATGGTGTGAAGATAAAGACATTAAAAAGACAACCCGGGGCACCTGGGTGGCTCAGATGGTTAAGTGTCTGACTCTTGATGTCAGCTCAGGTCATAATTTCAGGGTCATGAGATTGAGCCCGGAGTTAGGCTCTGCACTCAGTGAGGAATCTACTTGTCCCTCTCCCTCCCCCTCTGCCCCTCCCCCTGCTTGCCATATTCTCTCTCTCTCTCTCAAATAAATAATCTCTTTTTAAAAAAAATTTATTTTAATATACTAAAAGTCCTATTTGATGGCTTTCTACTGATATCAATAGAAGTTGCCAATGATAATTGTGTGCTTGTACCTTAGCATCCATTACTCTGTTCCAGATACAAGGCATGTTGCAACTCCTAATCAAGAGAATTTTGGAGTAAACCTGATTGGTGGAGAGAAAGGAGGCTAGATAAGACTAATTGGATCAGTCCCTCACTAGCTGGAAGTCCAAAATCAAGACAATATAAACCAACAGTTGATGCAGGCCAGGGTCAGTGTCACCCAGGGGGCATGAAATGAAGAGTTACATCAAAGCCTCAGGGTGGGGAAGTTCTTCAGGATAGTGGGGATCAAGTCACTCTTTTTTTTTTTTTAATAATTTTTTATTGTTATGTTAATCACCATACATTACATCATTAGTTTTTGATGTAGTGTTCCATGATTCATTGTCTGTGTATAACACCCAGTGCTCCACGCAGGGGATCAAGTCACTCTTATGGGAGAACTGGGCAAGATAATACAAACGATTCTGCAAGCAATCAACACTCAGTTCTGGAAGGGGGCCAGCAGAAACTAGGCAAAAAGATTTATGCCTGGGCCCTAATTTCAACAGAGATTCAGAGAATTGAGCTTCCATATGGGAGCCAAAGTCCAATTAAACAGCCAACAGCAGATGGTGGGGTAAGAAACAAAGGCTAAAACCTGATGGTTACAAAGTTTCCCAGGGGCCCAAATCAATTCCAGAGGCATAGCACACACTAGGCTATTTCCAGACTTCTACCTGCTAAAAGAGAATGGGTCTCACTGGGCTATAGTTGTGTAAGAACTGAGACTTCCTAGCCTGACACCATGAAGTGAAACTAGGACAGACCCCAGGTACACAAGTACTATCCCTAGCTTTTCCAGCAGGAACATAGTACTGTATTTTATCCATTATCCCCCTGAGATTGCTAAATAGATACTATTTAGTTTTACAAATGGATATCCCTCAAGTTTCAATAGGTTGTTACTTTCCAGAAGTCAAAAATTCAAGAGAAATAAAATCTAGGTGGGCCTGACACCTAGCCCAGTGCTTTTCCTGCAGAGTCACACTACTGCTAGAATTCTCTCTGATACCTCAGTAGCTGAACTAGTTGACAAGCAGGGATCATGATATCTCTGTGTAAAGCTATATTAACTCCTATTCTGTAGGCCATCAAAACAGGAAATGGGTATTCCTAAACTGCTGCGCAAATGAAGCAATCAGCAAAGTCAGTATTTAGTGCCCCAAAGTGTTATTTCCTTTGTAAGTTAAAAGGACACTAAATAAGCAAAAACAAGAAAAGTAAATATTAAAAAAATAAAAATAAAATAACCGCTGACTATTTAGTTTATATGCACACACACACACACACACACACGGCTCTTAACAAAATTATTGGATTTGAGAACAGTTTTTAAACATTCAGGCAAATGTCAAACTTATAATGTCCTGAGAGCTTTTCTTTTCACATGATACCCCTGGAAAACTGGCCTAAAAATTTGGTAGGCTTGGCATATTGTACAGAAAAGCAGTGTCTTATAAAGAACACACTCTGTGAGACAAAAGGCATCTTGACTGCTTGCTTTCCCTGAATTCTAGTCTTTTTATTCTGAAACCAAGTAATTTATGAATCCTGAATTCCCCTCCAGACTACCATGGATTCAACAGCAGAATACCAGAGCTGAGATTCTCAGGAAACCCATATGAGCTGAAAAATGCAATTAGCAACATCATGATCCAGTCCCCAGATTAACACCAAAGAGGCTTAAACACAGACCGATAGACCACAGGGGTTAGCAGTGCCAGACTGTTTTCTATTCACTCACATTCATTCAACCGTTTACAGAGCAACGATGTGCCAAGCACTGTGCTAGATGCTGGGGGTACAAAGGTGAGTTTAATACTATCCCATGTAGCTCAATTCTAGTTAGAGCTATAGAAATTAGAAGCTACTGAATAATTATAGTACAGTGTGACAAGAACAGCATACTATGACAGAATCTACAGAATCATTGGCAGCTAAGGAGCTCAGATAAGAGAACACTCATTCTATCTGCTTTGGGATGAGAAGGGTATCTTCAGGCAGAAATGGTTTTGGGGGTCACTCTTGCTCCTGATGTCAAATTGTGGTATAATAAAAAAATATATTTGGTCCTTGTCTCCAGTTTCTGGCACAGAGCTCCTAAAACCCTTAGAAATTCCTGTGTGACAGAAGTATCTTTTGTTATTCAAAATGAGCCCCTTTCAGAAGTCAAAAATTCAAGAGAAATAAAAGCTAGGTGGATCAGGTCCATGCCTTAGTAATAAAGCTTCCATAAAAATGCCTAAACAGCCAGGTGCACAGAGCTTTCACATTGGTGAACACATGGACGTACTAGGAAGGTGACATGACTGGAGAGAGAATGGAAGCATGGAAGCTCCTCAAGATGCATCACTCCTACACACACACACACACACACACACACACACACACACACACACACACCTTGCCCTAAGCATCTTTTCCGTTTGGCTATGCCTGAGTTGTATCCTTTATAATAAACATGTAACAGTAAGTAAAGTATTTTCCTGAGTTGTTCTAGTGAATTATCAAACTTGAGAGGGGTCATGGGAACTACTGAATTTATCACTGGTTAGTCAGAAGTACCAGGACTTTTAGTTGGCATCTGAAGTAGGGATAGTCTTGTGGGACTGGGCCCTTATCCTGTGGGGTATTTGTTAACTACATGTATAATGTAGTATAGCACGTGTAATATAACTTACATGTATAATGTCAGAATTGAATTGAATGGTAGGATACCCAGTTGGTGTCACAGAATCTGAGACTGGATAATTGCTTGATGTCAGAAAACACCCCTGACAAGTCAACCTTCTTTATAACTGTTTCTTTATGCATTAACTAGTCCACCTATTTGGAAAGGCCTAGGTCTTTCAGGAAGCTTATCAAGATAAAGTTGTCTGATACACTGTGGCAGAGATTGCTA